CACACACACACACACACACACACACACACACACACACACACACACACACACACACACACACCCCGAGGGGGAAAAAACTTCTTAGAACCTCCATCACTGCCAGATTGAAAACAGACTCCCTGAGGCTGCCCAGATCCTACTTCAGGACCCCTTTATGCTCTGAATTCTCCTGAAAATTCGGTTAATTTAGACTCAGAAGAGCAGAGAAACAATACTGTTGGTGCCAGACTGGGAGAAAACTACGAAGCAAGAGAGCAATGACGATTCGAGTGAAGGTGCTCGGCTGCCGCAGGCTGGTCTTGCTGTTCCTTTTTCTGGGGATGTTGTTGGAAGCCCAGGCTGGGAAGATCCGCTACTCAGTGCCAGAAGAGACAGACAAAGGTTTCTTTGTAGGCAACATTGCCAAAGACCTGGGACTACAACCCCAGGAGCTGGCGGAGCGGGGAGTCCGCATCGTCTCCAGAGGTAGGACTCAGCTTTTTGCTCTGAACCCGCGAAGCGGCAGCTTGGTCACCGCAGGCAGGATAGATCGGGAGGAGCTCTGCGCTCAGAGCCTGCAGTGTCTGGTGAGTTTTAACGTCTTGGTAGAGGATAAAATGAAGCTTTTTCCTGTTGAAGTGGAAATAATTGATATTAATGACAACACTCCCCAATTCCAGTTAGAGGAAGCAGAATTTAAAATGAATGAAATAACCACTCCAGGTACCAGGATCCCTCTACCTTCTGGGCAAGACCTTGATGTGGGTATGAATTCGCTCCAGATGTACCAGCTCAGCTCCAACCCTCATTTCTCCCTGGATGTGCAAGAGGGACCTGATGGGTCCCAACAGCCAGAGATGGTGCTGCAGAGTCCCCTAGATAGGGAAGAAGACGCTGTCCACCGCCTCCTCCTCACCGCTTTTGATGGGGGCAACCCAGTCCATTCAGGAAGCCTCCGAATTCGAGTTCAGGTGGTGGATGCAAATGACAACCCTCCAGCGTTTACTCAAGCACAGTACCACATGAGTGTTCCTGAGAACGTGCCGCTGGGCACTCGGCTGCTCACGGTAAAAGACATGGACCCAGATGAGGGAGCCAATGGGGAAGTAACATATTTGTTTCATAATATAGACCACAAAGTGGCACAAGTATTTCACTTGGATTCTTACACAGGAGAAATATCAAATAAAGAACCTCTGGATTTCAAAGAATACACAATTTATCCAATGGAAATTCAAGCTCAGGATGGTTCAAGCCTCATGGCCAGAGCTAAGGTGCTGGTCAAAGTTCTGGACATAAATGATAATGCCCCAGAGGTGACCATCACCTCTGTCACCACTGCAGTCCCAGAAAACTTTCCTCCTGGGGCCATAATTGCTCTTATCAGTGTGCACGACCAGGACTCCGGAGACAATGGTCACACTACGTGTTCCATTTCTGGAAACCTACCCTTTAAATTAGAAAAGTTAGATGATAATTATTACCGTTTAGTGACAGAAAGAACAATGGACAGAGAACTTACTTCCCAGTACAACATCATAGTAACAGCAGCAGATCAGGGAACTCCGACTCTATCTACCGAAACACACATTTCACTGCAAGTGACAGATATCAATGACAACTCCCCTGTCTTCCTCCAGGACTCCTACTCCACCTACATTCCAGAAAACAACCCCAGAGGTGCCTCCATTTTCTCCGTGACTGCCCACGATGCTGACAGCAATGAGAATGCACAAGTCACTTATTCCCTGGTGGAGGACACCATCCAGGGGGTACCTCTGTCCTCCTTTGTCTCCATCAACTCAGACACTGGAGTCCTGTATGCGTTGCGATCCTTCGACTATGAGCAGTTCCATGACCTGCAATTGAGAGTGCTGGCTCGTGACAGCGGGGACCCGCCGCTCAGCAGCAACGTGTCACTGGGCATATTCGTGCTGGACCAGAATGACAACACACCTGAGATTCTGTACCCCGCCCTCCCCACTGACGGTTCCACCGGTGTGGAGCTAGCACCCCGCTCCGCAGAGCCTGGCTACCTGGTGACCAAGGTGGTGGCTGTGGACAGAGACTCGGGCCAGAACGCCTGGCTGTCCTACCGCCTGCTCAAGGCCAGCGATCCAGGACTCTTCGCGGTGGGGCTGCACACGGGCGAGGTGCGCACAGCGCGGGCCCTGCTGGACAGAGACGCGCTCAAGCAGAGCCTGGTGGTGGCGGTCCAGGACCACGGCCAGCCCCCTCTCTCGGCCACCGTCACGCTCACAGTGGCGATGGCTGACAGCATCCCAGATGTGCTGGCCGACTTGGGCAGCATGGAACCCTCCACCAACCTGGACAACTCCAGCCTCACGCTGTACCTGGTGGTGGCAGTGGCTGCGGTCTCCTGCGTCTTCCTCGCCTTTGTCATTGTGCTGCTGGCGCTCAGACTGTGGCGCTGGTATCGGACGCGTGTGCTCCAGGCTTCAGGAGGAGGACTGGCGGGAGAGCCCGTCTCTCACTTTGTGGGCGTAGATGGGGTGCGGGCTTTCCTGCAGACCTATTCCCACGAGGTCTCCCTCACCGCGGATTCGCAGGTGAGTCACGTGACCTTCCCTCAGCCCAACTACGCTGACACGCTCATCAGCCAGGAGAGCTGTGAGAAAAAGGATTTTCTATCAGCACCCCAGTCTTTACTTGAAGACAGAAAGCAAACATTTTCTCAGGTAAACTTTGTGTAGTAAGTTCATCTAGGTAAAAATAATTCCTGAGTTTACTTACTTGCTTTCATTCTTTACTACTAACAGTTCTCTATTTCCCATATATCATTGTAGCTTTCTATTTACAAATCCTGGGAAATCATTAAATGTTTATATCTGAGTATATTTATCATCGTTCTTTCATTAGAACAAAGAGTTCTAATGAAAAGAGTTGAGGAAAGAGCACTGCATTAGAAACAAGGAGATTTGGCTTCTAAAGTTTTCTTGCTTGCTTCTGGCCAAATAATTTTATTTTTCTGGCTTTACCATTCTCTTATCTAGCAAGGATTGGGTTTGACTAGAAAAGGTCCACCAATATTAATGTGACTAATACTGTTTTCAAATATCCTTAAGTTATAAATATCTCCTAATTTATCCTTAAATTTAATGTAGATGTCATCTGTCGGGGTGCTGTTTTATTTGGGGACATTTGAAAAGGTAAAGATTGTCTAAAGTAGTATTTTTAAGTTGTGTTAATATAAAATTATGGAAATCTAGGTAAGCTGCAAATTTAAACTTTCTTAGCCTTTTGTTTAGTCATTTATTTTGACGTTTTATGCATGCTCAAGAATACATCAACTGTTTAAGTAATGTGAAATTAAGTAATAAGATGAATGACAGAAAATTTTCTGTGCAACTTGAGAAATAGTTTGAAGCCTCGTGATTTGTATATTATGCCTGTAAACAACTAACAGAAATCAAGTATATATTCCATTTTAATGTGTGTAAGCTCTTCACAAGAAATGCATCGTAGGGGAGTAAATCTATGCTTTGGTATACTTACTCTGCTCCAATAAATTAAAGATAACATGTATAAAATAAAAAAGAAGAAAGCAGAAGCATAGTTAGGCACAAATAAAAGATAGATAGCTAAATGGACCGAAGATGGGACAGAAAGTGGTGAGCCAGGCCAAAGCTAAAGTGGGAATTCTAATCTTGTACTTAGATGAGATTGTTCAAGCAGTGTAATAGGGACAAAAGGGCTTCGGGCTAAACAAGGGACCTGAGCCAGGCTTACTGCTTGCATCCAAAATAAGCAGTTAGGCCCCTTAGCTAGTTAAAAAGGGGGGAAAATCACATAAAAAACATTACCTACCAGTTCCCATGGTCGTAATTTGTTGCAAGCTAAAGACCAAGGGAGTAAGGTGGACACAGATGCTGGCTTCAGAAAATGAACACTAAGTCTCTCAGACCTGAGCTGTGATATTCAGAATACCACTGCTGCATACCATTAAAGTGCCATTAAAATACCTAGTTATGGCCTGGGACCTGGAGAATTCTGGAACTTACTTTTGCAAATGAGAATTTCCTGCCAACAAATTATTTTTTTTAGGTAATCTTTATTATCTCTGATGGCTTTTAAAAAAAATTCTCTCATTCTTGCTGTATGTCTAAGTGTGGATTTTTATTTTTATTTTCTGTTTGGTACCAAGAGTATACTCTCAATACCATAAGTTGTTACAATTTAAAATTTTCTCAACTCTTATAATTTAAAACTTTGCTTCTGTGTATATATAAGTGACCTTTTAACCTATTGAAACACCAAGATTGCCAAGTTGGTTGATTTTTTAAATCCATCTATTCTGCTGACAAGATACGTGCTTAAAATAAAATTATACTGAAATACTGAAGGTAAAGATGTCGATAGATATGCACACACACCCTACACACAAGAAAGCAGTCATGTCAATTTAATATAACACCAAAGCAGTGTTTAAGGCAACAACATTAGTGGTGATTTTTTTAATGAACTGATCATACTTATAAAAAGAACAGACAACCAAAAGGATATAAAAATCATGAGCTCCTATCACCAAACAATATAGCTTTGAAAATAATACAGATTATTTTCAAATCTGAAATTTAAAAGAGATTTTAACACAGTTCCATAAGAAATAATACATCACACAGGCAGAAAATTACTAAGCAAACAGCATATTTGAATAACAGTATAGCTTTGGAAATAATACAGATTTTCAAACCTGAAATTTGAAAGAGATTTTAACACAGTTCCATAAGAAATAATACATCACATAGGCAGAATATTACTAAGCACACAGCATATTTGAATAACAGAATCTATAAGCTTGATCTGACAGATTTGTTGGGTATTTGTATACACAACAAATATAGAATAGCCAATTTCTACATGAACATATGGAAAATCTACAACAATTTACTACATAGTCATCACAAAAATGGTAGAGCAAATTTCAAAGTACAAATAATATACATGCCTTATGTAGATAAATCACAAAGTGGCTGGTGAGGAAAACAGGGAGGGATTAGCAAAAGGGTACAAACCTTCAGCTATAAGAGGAATAAGGCCTTAGGACCTAATGTATAGCGTGAGACTACAGTTGACAACACTGTATTGTATAATAGAAAGTTGCTAAGAGTAGAACCTGATGCTCTCACACACACAAAAAGGTAAATACGTGAGGCGGTGGATGTGTTAATTAGCTCAGTAGAGGAATCCTTTCACAATGTATACATATATCAAATCATCATGTTGTACACTTTAAATATCTTACAATTTTATTTGTCAATTATACCTCAATAAAGCTGGAAAAATCACAAAGCAAACATTTTAAAATAGTAAAAGGAAACAGCAAAGTTTGGACATTTAAATCTACAACCCTGAATTACTCTTGGATTTAAAAAATCACAATGAAATAAAAACTACAAAAATTAAAATATTACTTATTAAAATTGTGGAATGCAGAGAAAAGAATATTTAGGGGTAAATCTGTAGACAACTATAAGAATTTCAAAAAGCAAATGATTTAAAACAAGTGGGTTAAGCTTGCCACTCAAGAAACAGAGCAAGAAAGATATAATATTAGCATAAATTTAAATAAAATAATAGGAAAAGTATAAATTATTGAAATGCAAACAAGGAAGAATTATGATGATGAAGCAATAGAAGCCGACACCAGTGGGGAGAAAATGAAACTACTGTCAAGTCCAGTGCTGGGACTAATATCAGCTAGTCAGATGGCATGACTAAAATTCGTTTTAGAGATCTTAAAAGAAAACCCCAAATTCTGATTATAGACAAAGACCTGGAAAAGAGAAAGGGAAGGAAAAGCAAGTAAGACTAGGAAAAAATAAAACAGCTTAATACGAAGCAAGAAACATGAGTGGGAAATAATATACAGAGTAAAACCAGATGTTGTCAAAGACAAAGAAACAAATCTTTAGAGAACTACAATAATGGATGTCGAGCAGTTATTTAATGAGACTCAAAAGTATCAAAACAATGTTGAAGAAAAAGTTTTAAAAAACAAACTAGAGGCTCTACTAGAAAACATGGTGAGTTAATATCAATTGTTTCCAATAAATATTTCATCAGGGTTCTCAGAGGAATGGGTTAAAAATGAAAAAAGTTCAATGGGGAAGAAGCCAAAAGGCAAAAAGACTGAAATGAGACCAGAAGTGTGCAATCTCGCTCAAGAATGTTGATTCAAAATCCTATCTACTATATATGTCATATTTATAGCTTACGACTAAATGGGGTTTATTACTTAGGGATGCAAGAATATTTCAATATAAGAAAATCTAATAATATAAAACTTCATATTAGGGGATTGAAGATAAAAAGCCATGTGTTCATTTCAATAGAGGCATAATAAAGGTCTAGAGAACATTCAACACATGATTAAAATCTTTTAGCAAGCTGGAAATTTAAGGAAACGTCCTTAACCTGATAAAGAGTATCTATCAAAAACTTATAGCGCTACCCAAAGCAATCTACAGATTCAGTGCAATCCCTATCAAAATCCCAATGCCTTTTTTTGTATAAATAGAAAAAAATCCATCCTAAAATTCATATGGAGTGTCAGGGGACCTCAAGTAGCCCCAACAATCTTGAAAAGAACAAGGAACAAACCACCTTCAGTTTCCTTAACGTTCGTGCTGCCTCTCACCTCCAAGAATTTGTACTAGAACACTACTCCAGCCTCTTTTTTGATCCAGTCATACCCTTTAGGATCCAGCTTCAATATTGTCCTGGAAAAGTCTTTCCTGACCCCCAAATCTAGGCTGGATACCCTTCCTATGTATTCTCCCATTGCCCAGGGTTTCCAACCATCATAGCAGTTACCATACTCTATTAAAATACTCTGTGTACTTTACTATGTCCTCCCTTTTCCTGTAGGCTTCCTGAGAACAGGGACTGTGTTCATCAGGTGCACCATTTCTATCTCCAGCATCAGTCAGGCAAAGTGTCAGGCCTTAATTGGGTAGTCACCCAATTAAATGTCTGAAACTTCAATAATTTAAATACAGATTTTGGGGAAAAAATACAGGTTTTGAAGTTCAATACTAAGCCATTAAGCACAGAAATTTAAAATATATAACATTAGAATATAATGTAGCTAATATTTTAGATTAATCTTATTGTCTCTGAATATAAAATAAGAGGTTGAAGATGTTTGGCATAAGGGCAGAGGCTGCCTTGATTAATGCCTCCAGTGTTCAATGATACTTTCCTTGCAACTACTGTCAAGGTCACATTCATTCACACCATTCTTATTCATTCTGAAAAAAAGACTCCTGACTTGAAAGAGCTACTTCTAAGGTATCTTAGAACTGTAAGATTCTTCAAAACAACTTGAAAGTCACAGGGGCAACAAATAATAACTTGGGTTTACCTGAAAGAGTGCAGAAATTACTTAGGCCTCTGGGCGTCGCTGTTGACCACCTAAGAAGTAAGCCTGTGAGACATCCACTCCAACATTACGGCTCGCATAACACAAAGGGCTGGGCGTTTGGCCCGCAAGCTTCGGGACGGCAAAAAAATTAAGTCCAGCAGCCCACTACTTCTCTCCACAGTTACCTGGGTCCCGTGAATGCTTGTCACCTCAGACCCTGAGGAATAAAGATTGGAATCCCGGCCTGGATGCTGGAAGTTGCCTGAGAGAAAAGACTGCAGCTCAAGAAATGGCGGCTGTGCTAAAGTTGCCAAACCGCGGAAGGCTTGTCCTGCTGTGCCTTCTTTTGGCGACCCTGTGGGAGGCTGGAGCTGGGCAGATGCGCTATTCTGTGCCAGAAGAGATAGAAAAGGGCTCATTCGTGGGCAACATCGCTAAGGAC